GACTCACCCACTATTTTCAGGTGCACAACGCGGGTCGGGTCCAGATTAGTCGAGGCGAAATCCCGGATACCGAGCGAGAAACCAAAAAAAAAAATACTGATAAATATGAAGGCAATGAAGTAATAATTTACTTACATTTACAGGTTTTCCTTAATTGATTTTTATTTTCACTTAACAATACGAGTTTTATTTTTTAATTTTTTTCATTTGGCCTACAAAAAGAGACTACTATTGATTTTTTTAAAAAAAACTATTTTATAATTTTGACTATATTAAATTACAAAATAATTATTTTTAAATTAAGAAAGAGTGGTTTGGTACTACACCCTCTTCCTCTAGTAGGAGTTTTAATTTTATAATTTAGTATAATTAAGATTGCAAAATAAAAAAAAATTACAGAAAAAAAAATTGATTAGCAGGAGGATGAAACTACATTTAAATACCCTCTCACTAGTAGTTAAAATGCCGGACTGCACAATAATTTCCTGTAACAATATTTTTTTTTTCTATTTTTCTATAATAATATCTTCCCTTAACAAGTTATGAATAAAAAAATTCACATTTTGATCCAATATGGGTGAACAATATTTAAAAATATTATGAGGACAATGTCTACTTACGTTCTAATCAAGCTAACATAATCAAATACCAACCTTCTTGATAAGGTAGATGTATCATCCATTATTCACTCACATACTGTCATGAAATACAAATATCCATGTTTGATGTTATAAATACAAATATTCTTTTCTTTTTAGATCATAAAAATACAAATATACTGTATGTTCAAAAAAAAAAATACAAATATACTTGATTATTAAGGTAGATAAAGTATTCAAAAATTATTTTCTTTATCTTTAATTATAAAAAATATATTTTTTAGTCATTTTATTAATTAATCTGTTAAATTTATTTAAATATACATATTTTTAATTAATTATAAATAAAAATATACATATATTATAAATTAAGAGACTAATAATATACATATATACAGGTTATGAGATTAAAAATATATATCATAAGTTAACGAATTAAAAATATATATTTAAATTAATAGATAAAAAATTAAAAAATATATTTACATAATTAAAAAATAAAAAAGTATATAAATAGATTAAAAAATTAAAAATTATATAAAATTTTAAAATTAGGGAACAAAGTTGATTTAAAAAATTCGGTAGTTCATACTGTTTCCCGTGTCTTGCTGCACAATACAAGGGTCATTGTTGCTTTGAAAAGAAAA